CACCGTTTCTAGGTGTGGGGGGGGGGGGAGAGTGCGGTAGATACCGCCAATGCCTACTCTCACTGTAAGCTGATTCGCCGTGCCTGTTTCACCTTGCTGTGGAGCATACGGTGGACATCGTCGGATGCGAAGGTCGAACTATCATCAGTTCCGAAGTAGATAGCCAAACGTTGGCGGAACGACTGTAGTACAACGAAATGAATGTGGAGAACATGCCGTTCAAAACGCGATTGGCTACCTGCGGCTGAGTCGGATAAGATCTGCTAGAGCGCGCAATCCGAAAAAACTTAAAAACAGACAAGAAAATGCAATGCTGGTTAGTTAAAACAAACAAAAGGACAAAACTCGTTATGCCAAAAACTCAAAGTAGTATGATAACCATAATGAAATTGCGTTTCACTAATGACATTCCCATTCGGCCCTTTGCCCTATAGTTCACTAATTAAGCGAGGCGAATTACAGGCACATCCTTTACTGCCTAGCTAACCGGCTGACGTTGCGTGACGGTTCACTGGAAGCTAAAAGCCACGAAAAATCCAAAGTTTGAGCGAGCTGCCTGAAATTTTCAAAATAAATAACCGAGTTCTAACTTATTTTCCGACATTCTCTCATCCTGAACGCCCGCTATTCGTAATCAAACGCATTCGCATCAAACGTCTTAAACGTGCATGCAGCTCCAATGCGTATTTTAATACTATAGCGTACGCGTTAGGGGGTAGTAACCGAACCAAATTTTGCGAGAACGAGGACTTAGCCTGCGAACGTCTAGAAAGTCCTTCTTCTTGAGACTTCTTGCTGTTCCGAGGTTTTCGATCGGCAAAAAACTCTGGATATGGTTCACTTTAGCAAAAATTGGCGTTATTATGTCTATCTTTCTGTGAACCACACCAAAAAGTATGGACACATCGTATATTTTCATCGTAGTTGGTTACATTAGAATGCGCTTACCTTTCATATGTCATTCTTGACCGAGTTCCTTAATGGCATGCTCTAGGTTGCTCTGTGACCGAAAATATCACTCAAACATGCTATTGCAAAACGTAATCTCAAGAAAAGTCGTAGAAACCATTGCAGCTTGCGTGAAAATGTTCGACCAATCACTCTTCCTCGCTATGAAACCCGTCCGCATATGGCGTACTTTAATCACTTGAACCTTTACCAATGCTGAAACATGCTCTGGTTCCAACGATAACCACTGCTGCCCTAAACAACAGCCCGCGAATCGCCATAGAAACACCCCACATCCAGGTGTCGTTCGTTTTCTTCTCCGGATGACTGTGAGACTTAAGGTACGCCTGGTATCCTATTCGTTACGTATTCCATTGTTTAAAATAATTAGCCTTTCACCGAGTAATGTGTCTATTCGGCTCCAAAAAATGTCATATTGGGTACGTAGAATGGGCTTTGGAGTATAGTTAATTCAAAAAGTTGAGTTATCTAAGACAAATGATTTGGAAGGCATAACTACAGACCGCTGCAGTCAAAGCCGAGCAAAGCAGAAAAAACCTCCCCAAAAGAGGTGGAAACCAAATGCAACAGAAGAGAAGAGACGAGTCCCAGGCAGCAGTCGTGAAGAAGGAGACACGATCACTGGGACAGGAGCTTTATTGGCCCAACATTTCAGACTCCTGTTTCTAATGATAGGTTCGGGCAGGAATCTGAAACGTCAAGCGAATAAAGCTACCAGCGATCACACATCTTTCTACACCAAGTGCCACGCTCGCGAAATGGATTGGGCTGTATGGATGGCATGAACACGTCTTTGCGCGGATGGAAATGGGGCAACCGCGTGTGAGCCAAAATAGCTGGTGTCCTGCTCCCCACATAACGGCCGACCCCCCCCCCCCCAGCAACTCTAGTCGTAAGGCTCTCTCCGCCCGCACTCTATGTCTGCAGTCCGCACGGCCCTCCCTTGTAGTCACCTCCCCTCCCCAGCGCTGCATTCCCCACCAGTCATCTAGCAAGCACGCTGGCACCACCTTCCCTTCTTCTGTTACTCCCCTATATTCTTGTATCATTTATCATTTTTCAATATATTAAATTCCCTGTTTCCAGCGTGTGTGTTTCGTACCGTTTAACTTTTCCTCCTCTTTGCTCGAGTAAGAATAATGGCGTGTCTAACAACCTTACTCAGCTCATTCTTTGCCGGGACCTATACCCGGCGCGTTGGGTCAACCCGGATGTGCCACCCTTTAATGCCTTCGACAGCTACACGGAAACACCAGGAAGACGCAACAGCGTGCTCAGATGCAGGAACAGCTTTCTGAACTCAGTTCAAATAAAACAAAGTCTGTCAGACGGTAGCGTGAAAGAAAAACATACTTTGAGTCAGGTGTAACTTTAAAGCATCTTGCCTTTTGCAAATTTACTCATGCGTTTTATTTCGCTCCACAAGAGAAACAATATCTAGGAGTTATATAGAAGAAAATTAAAATTGCACCAGTCGGCCAGTATCACTCGACAAGATTGTTTAATGCTCAGAGTTGGTTCTTTGTGCACTAAAAACGTCAGATAATCTTCCATTAACAAATAAATGGTCAAAAAGTGAAAAATCCGACTTTTCCAATGTAGACATGGTCCTAGGGACTGGACTGATTGTTAGTTGCCTTGGTGACCCGCACGATGGACTGCAGTGAACAACGTCAGAATTTGGTCTCCACCCGAACCATTTCATTCTGCCTTCGGCAGTCTTAGAAGAAAGGGCAGCGGTACAGAGAATGCCCGCAAGCAAACGAGGTCCACGCTGAAGGAGTGAAGCTTAGCTCATGGCAGTTTACGCAACGTCAGAGAACAAACTCCATGCTTAGAGGAATATTGAATAGAACACGACCTAATTAAACGCGTATAGTAGGCATTGTTTGTACGCCGTAGATTCTTGGGGGCCTTCACCTGATCCTTACCGAAGAAAGTGGAAAGCCAGAATCTAACTGATGACAACGTAGCAGCAACGTAGCAACATTTATTGCATTAAATGCAGCCAGTGTTGCTGCATCGGACAACACAGAAACGATGTCTCAGTAGTGGACTTATATCTGTTAATAATTCTCAGAAATATTTTGTCAGATATATTAGGCAGGTGTATATTGACGTTATTTTATTGTTTGGTTTTCTTCAAACACACTTTTTCCCGCCAGTCTGGCCTTATATGCAATGCTACATATTTTCCTAAAATATATTTCTGTTCTAGAAGAAGACGAAGGTACAATCACTGCGACGATAGATTTATTGGCCTTAGCTTTCGAACTCGAATAGGAGTTCATCATCAGAGACCGCTAGAGTGCAGCGACGAGTGAACATTTATATCGTTGTGTCGTGAGTGGGTAGGGGACTACGTCCGTGGCTAGATCTGGTTTGTGCTGCCTGGCCCACAATGGTCCCCCGGAGTGGTTACGGCGTTTTTACTTCGTGGCGATGTGAGCTGCGCCACCTGGCTGCGTGGGCGGAATACGTGATAACACGCAGGTAAATCAATGTGTCTATTGATAGAGTTGGTGTCGGACAACCACACCTCCAACAGTTCTCGCCCCGTTTGTTGTCGGCTCGACCCAATATCCGCGTGTTAGCAAAGTCGAGCTCCTGGCCTTCCTCCAGTGTGTGAGCGGCGAATTGAGATAGTGGGTCGTCTATCCGAACGGCTCGTTTGTGCTCAATTATTCGTGAGCTGAGACGCCGTCTTATTTAGCCTGTGTAATGGCAAGGTCAGTTATGGCACGGGATTTGATGGGCTACACCCGACTACTCACATGCATCCAGCCGACCCTGCATTTTCATGATTCTGCTACGCATGGTAGCCGCTGGATGATGGGTGATGCCCACGCCTAACTACGCCGCAATGCGTTCTGTAGTTTCTCGGCCTCCTCGTCTTCTCTTGTAAACTGAATTTCGGGGAAGATGCTGCTGAGCAGGTCATGAAAACCCGATAGCTTGTCCTTTTCAATAATGACGAATGTATCGTCCACGAATCGGCGCCAAAACGCGGGTTGGTAGTGGCTGAAAGCAACCTTTTCCAGCTCTTGTAGGACCAATTCCGCCACTAGGCTGGATATTGGGGAACCCATGGGTGTCCCTTTGATTTGTTTGTATGTTCTGCTATCGAAGGTGAAACGGGTTCGTTGGCAGAATGCAAAGAGGTGCATTAGGTGCTGGATCTTTAGGGGCCCTGTTGTTTCGTCGTTCTTTTCTTCGAGGCGTTTGCGTAGCACGTCACGCGCCAAGTCTGATGTGATGGACGTGAAAAGTGAGACAAGGTTGAAGGATACCATGATTTGGTCGGGTCGAATAGTTTTTCCCCGAATGTCGGCAAGGAATTGGGAGGTCGAATTGACTGACGTCACAGAACCCTCTCGGAGGAAATTCAGTTTTCGGGACATCCATTTGGCTAGATTTTATGTGGGACTGCCTTTCAGCGCAACGATTGGCCGCAGAGAACCGTTGGATTTGTGGATGTTTGGTAGTCCATGGAACCTGGCCAATCCCGTGTCGGTTGGTTTTGTCTGGCGGCATTCGTCAAGGGAGATTAAATTGTTGCGCCGGAGACGGCTCAAGAGTCCAGTCAATTGACCAGTCATTGATTTGGCCTGCGAGGCGGGTACGGACTTGTAGGAATGTTGGTCGTCCAGGAGAGCTTGTGCCTTCGGGTTGTAACCGACTTGGGCAACGCATGAAGACATACTAACAATGTAAATAATTTTAAACTAAATTCGAATTACTGGCGGAAGGGGCGATGGTAGTCACAATGTGGTAAGGATACGTTTTTTCTCCAAATCGCTGCCGATTTGCCATCTGAAGCCAGTCAATCGTCCGGATTGGGAGGCGATCTTGACTTCGAACATGCCTTTTCGAAAATGGCGAACAAATACTAAGGGGTCCTTTTTGGGCATGACTTCCTTTCCGTACGCATTTAAAGTGTCATAATCAGTGGTGATAGTTTTGACACCCCTCGAAAACCCGGTCCTGCTGGAAAATGTGGAAACACGGGTGCGTCCAGCATGACAGTGACAGTGGCTTGACAGGCGTGGCTATGGGGAAACAGTGCAGAACATGCTTAAACTAAGGGAAAAACGCAGGTGTAGTAGGTAAATATGCTAGTTTGTTTTAATGGGTACTAAAATCTTGGCGCAAGCACCGCACAATGCAAAAATTCACTGCAGGTAGCCGGTAAAATCAATCCCACGAAGGAGAAGAGTGGTTGGCTCGTCAAGGTTATTGACACTGAACAGGCCAATAATGTGACCAATTGGACGTAAGCCGTGAAGAACGTTGTGGAATTGGCTGTCGAATGACTCCCTAATCCTAAACACCAACACTAAACCCTGAACCTTGACCCTAAACCTTAACCCTAAACACGAACCCTGTCCATGAAGCTTAACCCTAAATCCTAAATCTAAATCGTAATCATAAACCCCAACCCATAACCTATGCCTTAAATCCCAACCACAAAGTCCGAAACCTAGCCTAATTGTGATTCATAGTCGCAACATTCCGCAAAGCGCCTCAAATTGGAAGTATCATCAAGTAGTACTATGTCCGCTGAAATTAATACTAGTACGAAAGTGATAATTTTTGGCCAAGCAGGACCGTTTTTCCGAGCCCCACTAAAACTCCTGCTTTAAGGCCGGAAGAAAATGCTTCTTTTTCTAGAAATAGCACTTTGCTTTTTAAGCCAAAACCATGAAATATTAAACGCCACACAGAGCGGATTGAATACCTTCGAACGGTACCCAGCACGTACCGCAATAAAGCCAGGTAGCAGGGACAATTGCATTTGAAAAAACCGCAAAGTCCTAATAGATAACTCATGTAAGTATTTTTCAAGTTGTTCATAAGAGGATAATTTTGTCAACAGCATATACAGTGCATAACCGATCTCGTGAAATGTTGGTCGAAATTCTGGAGTGCGTTTTTGATTAGGAAGAATTACTAAGGAAGGGTTTTAGTACTGTTTGTCATGCGACAAAATCCCATAGTATTTCTGACTCATCAGGACGTCGGCTTTTGAATGCATTCTTTATAGACCTCTGGTGGAAAGGATACTCGGTAAAAAATGACTACTTAAGTAGCAAGCATTTTTTCTTAGTGATTTTCGATGGTCTTATAAATTATAATATATTTTATAGCGTAAACGCACGAAAATATGCTATCTTTTACCCGTGTGGTAGAAGATCACATTGTCTTCATATTTTTTATCCGAACAAAGTAAATATTTAGGTTTGAAAAGGTTTTCAAATTCCCGAATAATTGTGAGCTTGATCTGCCACTGAATAGCGTTTATCGATTTGAGTCTACAAAATGCATGCTTTCCGCGTAAGGAAAATCCTATATTCCTCTATTCCATCATGCAGATACCATATAGAGTTCACAAAATTCTGCGTTGGATGCGGGCTTTGTTGAATATCTCATGAGGAGCACTGGTAAACGGGCGTGTGCGATGCTGTATAAACGGACATAGCACGGTCTTAAAAATCGCACAATTAAAACTTTCCTAAAACTCAAATACACACCTTTTCGGGTATAAAATATCAGACAATGTTATTCTTTAACAAATGAGTAGAAGAAAACCTATTTTTGTGCCTGTTTTCTTTAAAATACATTTAAATTTTCAAAACCATCGAAGATAAATTTGAAAAGTGCATGCTACCTAAGAAGTCATTTTTACCGAGTGCGTTTGCTACAGAAGACCGAAAAAGTGCATCCAAAAGCTGACATCCTAGCGAGTTCGAAATATTATAGGACTGTGCCGCGTGATAATTACTATGACAAGCCCACCCAAGTAATCCTGCTTGATCGAAAACGCATTTCAGAATTTCGGCCAACGTTTCATGAGATCAGTCACTCATTGTCAATTGGGGAGAAAAAAAGGATTTTTCGCTAAACGAGCATCCACATTTGTCGTCTACACAAGTATATATGAGCAGCATGTCTGGATGACGCGCAGCGAGTACGAATTCAGCGTCGAATAAACTAGCCAATTTGTCTATAACAGTAAAAAGGACTCCAGACACGATAATAAAAGACGAAACATAAGAACGTACGTTTTTAAACTTGTAGGATGATGCACTCTGCTGCGTGCGCAGCTTACACAATATACTATAACCGACAGTACAGATACTACTTAAACGCCCAAACACATATTCCGCCTATAGCTTGCTGCTGCATGACGCAGTTACGAGAGTTTCAGTTCGTCAGTGGGCCTCCCAGCGTTCCCCGTGCGCTTTTTTAGTAGATGCTGCAGTTTTAAAATTGCGGCTTTCTACGTTTCACAACCATTGACCACTGAGATGAGGTAAATCAGTCTGCTTTAGACTTATAAGCTCAGACTGACATCTGATATGAATGACCGCGTAGTATCCATAAAATGCCAACAGGCTGCCAGTAGTATATGGATAGGTCACACGATACACCGTGACACGGTTTGACCTGATTTTCCATCTCATCGGAAACATGCTCTAGTTGTGCTTTAGGGATATTCAGATTTGCAGTAGGTGTGCTAACTCATGAAATGTTAACGGAAATTCTGCAGGGTGTTTTTGTTGCAAAAAGATTACTAAAGTAGGATTGTAAAATTACTCATCATGCAGCATTATTCTCCAATATTTCACTTACCTCGGGATGCCGGTCTTCGAAAGAACTTCTTTCCGGCAGCATACAAAAACCACACCCTGTGCAAACTTACTACTTAGATAGCATGGATTCTTCTAATTGATTTTCAATGCTCTTGAAAATTCAATTATATTTCATGGAAAGCATGCATAAAAATATTCATTTTCCTGCTAATTCGGTAGAAAATTGCGTCTTATTCCAATTTCATACTCGGAGGAAGCGTATAATCCGGTTCTCAAAAGCTTTTTAAATTCCTGAATAATTCTAAACACGCCCAGTCGTTACATTTTCATTAACGCTTCAAGATCACAAGCCATATATTTTCCGCTACGGTACCAAGAGGAAACCACATGGGTTTCATAAAATTTAGCAGTTGATTTGAGCTATATTGTAAAGTTTACAGGCCACATTAGTAAAAGCAGGGACGTGATGTTTTATGAACGGATTATTCGCGGCATTAAATAATCTCACAACAATAAACTTTTATAAAACCGAATTATACCCTTCCTTCGAGTATAAAATTGAAAGAAGACGTAATTTTCTACTTAATTAGCATGTTTTCTATGAAATATAAATAAATGTTTAGGGGCATCAAAAATCAATTAGACAAATTCACGCTACTTAAGTAGTCATTTTGTACAGAATGCGGTATTTGCATGCTGCCGGAAAGAAGTTCGTTCGAAAGCCGGCATCCTGAGGTAACTGAATTATTATTGGACTTATGCTGCATAATGAGTAATTTTACAACCCCACTTAATTAATTTTTTTGAAACGAAAACGCATTTCAGAATTTCGGTTAAAATTTTATGAGTTAGCCCACCTACTGTAGTTATGACAGAGTCATGGTGCAGCGAGATAGTTTTTCCTGGTCCACTGTCAGGCTGACTTGCGCCTCTGAACCGAATTTGTTGGGTCATTGAACAATAAGGGGTGCCTAATTCATGCCTTCTCGACCGCGACAAGACATAGACACCGCATTTCTCCCTGTCAGTAAGATATCTCGACTTATGTTGGCTAATCTAAAAAAGGAGATGCATTTCTTTTCTTCTCTTTATACACAACTTGAAAATAGAATGTGCATTACTGCTGGTTGGATTACTAGCCGGAACGTCACCAACCGCATTGGCGCTAGATCCTGAGTTGCAAGAAAAAACGGAAATTTCCTCTTCCCCCTCCTTGAAGTCAGAATAAACCAACGAACTTCACTTTCCTCTGTCCGGTATCTCAGATGGTAAGGACGTTTGATGACGGTTACTAGTCGAAAAGTCACGAGATGCATAGGCGCCAGACCCTGAGTCGCAAGACAAAACAGAAATTTCCTCTCCTCTCCCCGAACTAAGAGTGGATCAGCGATTGTTTTCAAGGGTAACAGATTGAGTCTTAAGGCCACCACAACTAGCATGCCTCCTTACCTAATCAGTGAGCGCCTTTTCTCTCGGTAGTTCTGCATCGATCTTGAGGTAATACTTTGGGGAGTAGGCACTCTATTTAACCCTCCGATTTACAGTGGCTGTTTACGGCCGGTTTCCAGAGCGCAGGGGAGAAAAGATGTATCTTCGAATTCGCAGAGATTCAAAGAGTTCAGGTATATTATTTCCAACATAAAGGTGGATGAGCTGATCTGATCCAGCGTTTAAGCATTCCGTTTTCTTAATGTCGGTAGACCGAAATGCTGCCTGAAGGCAGGCTTCTCCTAAGATCGCGGACAAAGGACGTGTGAGTGGCGTTCATTTATCTGCCCCCTTTGAAGGACTGAATGCGGACCGTAATG